CTGCTGTTTAAGTTTAGAATTTCTACGAGGCATGTTGTCATTCCTGCTTCACTAGAGCCTTATTTCCCATGTTTATAGGGTTGATGATTTTGATACCTCCTACTGCTTAGCTTTTGCTGATCAACACTTATTTGTAGCCTGACTTTCACGCGTACAAGCTCACATCTCATCAAGTCGACCAGACTTACTTGCGGACCAACGGGATCTCGGTCGTGCTCATACTTGGGGGATTAAGCCTTGATGACCCCGGACTGGTTTTTTCCCGCTTACTCTGAGCGATGGTCGGTATTGCGTACAGAATTTAACATACAGGTATACACGCACACACACACCCATACACATACGGGCATAAAAAATTGACCAAATAATGCAATATCCATCTATACATATATATTTTTTCATTAATCTATGCAGGGTATAGTCGGTCAGTCTTCTTGACTCAAGACTTGTAAGAATGAGTCCAGCTCTGATGATGTCCGCCATATGACGAGTCAAAACTCAGCCTGTTTTCGTCCGAAAAGGGGGAGAATGTATCGTGGACTACGCCAACCCGAATGTCATATTAAAGTTAAATTGATGCGGGAAACGGTGGATCAGCCGTCATCTTCTGGTGACATCCATCAACGAATCTCCTTATAATTCACTTTCGTACTTTCAGCAGCAGTGTTATTTCAAGAGACTTATCGATACGATATTATTCTAGTATTGGATTTTTTCACATGGCACTAGTTGGGATAAACTGCAAATACCCAAGTAGGTTATGCGTTCCAGCTGAGAATGACTTGTGTTTGTGATGATTTCTACGCCATTTTACCAACTAGCTATAATCGCATAGGACCAGAGTTAAAAGAGCATTTCCGCGCTTTAATTTAGAATAAGAATTGTTATCGGAATCTATAACAACACAGTAAAAAGCTAAGATACTTAAGAACCATGTGATTCATAATAATCGCATCAATATGCACGATGACAATATAGTTGTATTACACTGATTCTTAAAGTTAAGCAATTCGTACCGATTATTTTAGGGCGGATTTAAGCGGAGGATAAATATCATGATCTGTGTAGTTTGCAATTATTATTCAATTACACCTTATTAGCTACTATATATTTGGAAAGCGCCATAATTCGGTGCATAGTACACATACACACACTCGAGTATATCAGAATTAGCCAAACCTTTCTTAATCTATCTCTATCCGAAAAAATGACATGAAAGTCTCCACAAAAATACCTACACTTTTTTTTATTCACGTATACTTCACAATTGTGATCGTCACGAGTGCTTTTTTGATCTGGGTGTCATTTTCTGTATTTTCTTTCTTGTGCATCCTATCCTTGCTCGGTCTCCACTCCTCTCATCTCATCCTTGCTCTCGCTTTCAGCCTCCGACTCGATGGATTGCTCTTCAGCCTGCCTGGCTTCGTGTGTCCTCGGTCGACTTCTCTGAACCCCACCTGCAACTGGCAAATTACCATAATTTACTTTGGTTTCCAGGACCAGCTGGGCGTCCATGCCATGGAGGTGGGGGTTGTCCTTCCCTCTGTTCGTCCGGGTCGCCATTGGAGTCTAGCTGTTACTCCCTTCGGCTGACCGGGCTGGCCATCGCTTCTCCTCTCTTCAGGGCTGGTAGTCGCACAGTTTTCTGGATCCCATTTGACTTAGAACCTGATAATCATGAGGTGTCGTCATCTACTACCCTAACTGAAGACTTGGAGGTCAGAGATACCGGAAAGCCTGACAACACACTTCGTACAGGTATAGTGGTGCGATTGACGGCTTGGATGGGCCCTGGTCGTTTAATTCTTCAGTCTTATCCCTTCCTGGAATCGTTTGAGCCCAAGAACAAGTAGCCTTGGCTTATTTTTAATTCTCCCGTCTATCTTAATCCCTTCATTACTTTCACTTCATCCATCTCTTTATTTCATTCTATTCATTTTCCTTATCGCAATCATTTTCAACTTTTATCAACGCTTTGCTACTAGCAGTTTGTGCAAAGTTGAAGCTAATAGTTCATTTTTCATTTCATTTTTTTCTTACCTCTTATTCTTGTCCCAGTTTCCCTGTTGTTCTGGCTCATTCATTTTCCATGCATCTTTACTATTTATATTGGCATACCTTTTATTTCGTTTGAAAAGGCTAGTGCAAGGGATTCGTAAATTGCCTCACCTGATACCGGAGGATTGTTGCCTTGGACTTGTGACTGTTTGATTGCGCAAATAAGACCTCGGCTCACCGTTCGATCCATCCGTGCTGAGATTTCGTCCGGCATTTTCAGAGCCAGAAACCATTATTTACGAACAATCACTAAAACACACTAAACCAAGAAAAGTATCCAGCTAAAATTCTACTCCATTTGCGATTTTAATGAGGCATTCCACGATTTAGTTGGCTGCTTTGGGCTTGTCCTACATACATGTATACGAGTGAAGGGAACTGATGTGGTCACACCTTTCTTTATGTAAATAAAATAGCGTGTGATCATGTAATATAGAGGCTTCTCTTAGCTTCATGGATGTTTGTGCATTTTGTGTATGCAATACTCACGAATTAATCGGCAATTTTAAGCCTCAAACCAGATTCCAGGTTAGTCAATTTTTCTCTTACTCGGTGACTCTTTCTGTTCACTTTCTCTCTCTCATTCTTCTTATTATTCTTATTCAGTGTGTTCTTTGTCTTTCAATTTCAATCGACTCCCTGATCTTTTGCTTGGCTGCGAAGTTCCCATATCCGGCAAAACGGGTTTTAGACCATTCTATATAGTGTCTTGTTCAGCCACTTCCGATTTCTGATTCCGTAATTTTTTTCAGGTGGTTTTCTGTTCTGAATAACCTCTTATGCATAGTTCGACATGTCTCCCCCACTTAGACACTACCACATGAGCACAAAACCTTATAGAAACCTGATCTACAGAGGGCATCTGAATATTCTATAAAGCAAGGCATGATTGAATAAAGTGTCTGTATTTCTTTATACATGGCCCTGATTCTAAATTTCCTCAATAATTCGCTCATCCTTTTCAAAAGCTTTCAGGATGGTAACACTATCAATCTGAACTAAGAGTTGTCTAATTCCCTGTTTTGTTCTAAATAATGGTTTCCTCTCATTATATTTCTTAGTATTTTGAAATTCTTAAAAATTAATCCTAGCGGACAATCGTTCTCAACTAAGATTTTTTTTTAGTCTCTATAACTTTTGATCCTGGCGATTTACTTCCGCTAGACGCAAACTTCTTACTCACATTGATTTCATAACCTAAGGAGATCTTCCCAACTCTTTACCATTCTGCCAGATTGCGAAGTAGTCATCCATATATTTGACCAATAGTTTAGGAACCAGGAATGACGCTTAAAAAAGCCGGACTTTTAAGTGAGCCGTGTAATTAGCTAAAACTGGAGACAAACACGATCCCATAGCTAAACCTCCGGTTTTGTCATATAGGCTAGCATTAAAGATGAAATGCATTATTAAGTTCGCCAATCTCATGATTAGCTCCTTGCATATCTTATTTTCCTATTTAGTCTCTGGGTGATGATATAAGGTTAGTCCTAAACCCTCTTTTTACTATTATCTCTTTTTTTTCTTTCTAGATCGGCCAAACCTCCTCGCCCGTATTTCAGGACTTCGTCAACTTTTTGAACCAATTTTCACGCCCCGATCATCCTTCCCGACGGAGAT